GTGTTGGGCAAAGGTTGGAGGAATTTGGAAGTCTCGGAAGAAGGTAAGAAAAGCAGGGAAAGTTCGGACTGTTTTAGAGACTGGTTAGATGGCGGTGGGCACAGTGAGGGTAGAAACACGGACGGTAAAGGCCACTCTGAGATCTCAGATGTAAAGGAGAGGGGCTTATTGGAAACTGGGGCAAAGATGGCCCTTGCTATGAACTTTAAAGGAATTTGGCTGCGTTCTGTTCACGTCCAAAACTTTCCTGGAATGAAGAATTTCAAGATGCTGATCCACGGTATTTGCTGGAAGAAATTTCTTAACAGCAAAGAATTCAGGAATCCGCATGGTTACTTGCAACAGCATATTCTGAGTTATGGTGGCAAAGACATGGAATAGGCCAGAATTTCTAATGACAAGGGAAGGAGAGGGCATAGATTTGGAAAATTTGCAGCCTGGCCGTGTGGTAGAGAAGCAGAGCGTTTTCAGAACAATTCAATGGCGTAGACCAGCAACGGTTTGCTGAAGACATCAGTAGAAAAGAAAGGGATTGTCGAGAGAAGGGAGTCAGAAGACACTGAGCCTGGTTGCAGGTGCTTTGTTACGAGCAGCAGAGATGGAGCAGACAGGTGACCAGGCACAGGCGTCCCCAGGAGATACCCAGTGGCCCCCGTCACCTCATCCGGCATTTTCCTTGAAGCAGTGATCACTCTTGGAAGTTACACATTACTATTTTCTTATCTGTATCAATCTAACTTATTGTCTAAGGCCCTCCAAACTATGAGCTCGGTGGGGACGGGACTGGGTCGGCCTTGGTCACTGTGGTACCCCAACATCCTGCACGGTCCCTCCTGCCATCGGGAGACGTTCACTGATTCTTTCTCAGAAGCATGAACACAGAGGGACGCCACAGAACCCACGAGCATTTCAAGGGCACCTTGACAATGTCGGAGGTCCCCAAGACACAAGGAGAGAAAGCAGCCGGCTGCCCCGAGGCCCATCTGATGTCACTGTCATAAACTGTGGGAAATAGCTCTGCTTGGGCAACACGGGATTCCAGAGTGGCCGAAGGCTGCAGGGCCACCGAGCATGTGCTGAGTCTCACAGGGGAAAGGAGAAGCATCTCGTAAACACTGCACTCTTGTTACTGGGGCCTGGGGGCACCGTGTGCCAAGTGTGGGGCCTGGTGCACGGCCTCCCAGGCACGTGGCAGGCTCTTTGGAAGCTATTACGGATGCTTTGGGGACTAGCTGTGTCTCTGGCCTCTCCCCACCGCACCCCACTTTGCCTCCGCCCCACGGACTCGCTGGCCCCCAGCCGTGTGCACTGGCCGCCGGGTGGAAGGCGCGTGGCTTGCGGGTGAGCGGCGGGCCGCGAGCAGCCGAGGCCCGGGCATGCGGGGCACCTAGGGCTGAGGTCGAGCTGGGGGCCCAGGACAAACTTAAGCCACACAGGTGACCATGTGCAGACCACGACTTGGTACACATACACACAGACACACTCCCCACGGGTCCCCTGTTAGTTCACAGCCCAAGACCCCAAACCCACAGTGACACCTCCAGGCGCCCCTCTGTCCACCCAAAGCTGTCACCACCTCGAACTCACACCCATGGTCACAATTCGGCCCCCTGGCCCCCAGCTATGCATCTTCCCAGATGCAATCTCCGGCTCCCGCATGTGACCCCGGCTGCCCCCACCCGCTGCCACCCCCGGGCGGCCAGGCCCTGCCCCTGCACAGGGCGCGCGGGACACGGCCTCGCCCCGGCCACTCACGCGCGCGCGGTGCTGACAACACCAAGCC